GCGCAGGCCGGGAGCTCCCGCGCAGGCCGCCGGTGATCGCAGACCCCTTTAATTTTTTATTTTATTTTATTAGTTCATTTTTGAGACAGGTCTTGCTACATTGCTAAGTTGTCCAGCCTGAACCTCCCAGAGGGCTGGGATTCAGGTGTATTCACCACAGCTTCTCTGCTATGTACTGGTTCTGCCTGGATCTACTTTCATCCATTTAGTTTTCAATTAATTAGGATTCTTGCGGCTAAGGTGCACATATTTCAGCAATTTTGGGAACATCCTTTAGTACTTTCACTGTTGCTCCTCGCCATTTTCTCTATTCTCTTGTTCTAGGACCTTACTAGACATGCTGCGCCTTTATCTTCCTGGAAAGGACAAGAGAGATTTACTCTCTCATATTTTCTATCATTTGTCTGAAAAGTAAACGGATCAGTTTTTCCTCATATGTATCTTCCAGTTCATTAATGTCTCTTCAGTAGCATCCAGGCTACTATGTAACACATTCATTACATTTCTATTTCCAATCTCTCTTTTCTTTTAGAGAAGGCTGACATCAAGTAGACAGACATTTTGCAAATTTGCCATTTATTTCTTCCCTTCTTCCAATTTTAATTCGCCTTCCCTTTTGATGTCAATTATCCTTTTTTTTTCATAATCTCTATTTGATAACTCTGTTATATAAAGTCCTTGGAGAGAGTCTAATTTGATTATATGTTGTATCAGCTGATTCTTGCTCCTGGTCATTTCCTGAGGTGTTCTGTTCTTGTGGATTGGGAGCTTATTATTCGCAAGCATTTATTTGTGGTTTAGTCCCTCTAGAGTGTTTTTGTGTTGGCTTTTTCAAGTTAATGTAGCAATACCCTTAGCCTGCGACCAATTTATGCTAATTTCCTAGTTTGAAAGCATTAGATCAAGCATGCAACATACATCTGAACATCAAACTAAGATGCAGCTTAGAGTTATTCAATCTCAGTATAAATACTTTTCTCTCCCTTCTTCCCCTATTTTTGAATTTTGGTATTGTGGGATGATTTTTTTTCTAGTTTTCATCCTTTTGCTGAGGGCACAAGCCTTTCAGGATGACTCTGTGTGGGAGTCTTGTTCTAGTTTCTCCTCTGGCAGAGTCTGGGTTTACACCTGTTGTCCTGGTTATTTATAAAGCTTCCTTTCACCATTCAAAGTATCTTAGTCTAGACAATAAATTATGTTAACTCTCAGTTTGTAGTCAGGGTTGTACTTGCTATGCTAGAGGAAGAGAAAAGCAAGACTGGCTAATTGTCGAGGGAAGACTGGAGATTTCCTTTAGAAAGGCAAGGACCAGCTCAAGTCAGGGAAAAATTTGAGGTCTGATCAGAGCTATTAGAGGATTTTAAACTAAGGGATTTAAAGCAATTTCTTGAGAAAATCAAAATATGAGTAAAGAAATAAAAGACAAATACTAGGAAATAGAGAAATCCTTTGCAGAAGGGAAAGGAACCAAGAGAAGGAGGGAGGGTGTAGGAAGGGGAAGGGATGAAAAAGGCACGAAGGCATGTTGTGCGCATGTGCCAGCCCCTCATGAGGCATTTAAACAACTGGAAGCTTCGCCTGTACCTTGTGTAGTTTAGCGGACAGTCAAAAATTCGGGCAGAGTTTGTATTCAGATTTTGAGACTCATCCTCTCAGTGGGTCTCTTCCTTCCAGAAACTTCCTAAGCATTTTCAGCGCACTGTGCAGTCCTAATCATTTCCTATGATCTATTAAGCTGATATCTTTCCAGACTTCCACCACCTGAGTTGCATCTGATTAAGAAATTCCTTCAGCCAACCCACAAACCTAACCCAGCCCAGTTCTTCATTTCTATTCCTGCCTGCTTCTTAGTGGTCCCCAGGGTTCCTGCCTTTGTCTGCAATACAGTCGGCCAGGCTTTGGAGTCGAGAGGATACCCAGATTTGGGGACCCATCACTTTTGTGAACCTTTTGTTTCCAGCGCTCTCACCCCCGGTATTGTTGATTCCCTGCCACCTTAAGCCAAAAAGTTTGTCATATATTTCCTCGAGGAATTCTAGGTCGGGAACTACCTTCAGTTAAAAAAAAAAAAAAAACAAAAAAAACACTAACTCCCAATTCTGATACGTCGCCATCGCTATCTTCCAAGTGTAAATGCACTTGAAGTGTCTGATTTCTGTGATTTTTCCATTGCTTTCAAGTAATGGACATAGTTGTTCAAATTTCATAATTACAGCTAAAGGAAGATGTACTCAAGCTATTTATTCTGCTATGCCGAAATCCTGAAACATTTATTGCTGTTTAATCTATGTTTATATTAACACAAATTTTGAATTTTTTCACTTATTAATAATTTCATTCATTTTCTGTTCATTTTCCCATTTTTCTATTTGTGGTTACTTTTTGTCTTGTTTAGCTGTAAGATTTAATTATGTATCAAAGGAAATACCTCAACCCATGGTTATTTTGATGCTCAGGTAAAATTTGTGTCAAAATATAAGATTTGCTTTTATGGTTATTGTTATGGTGAACATTGATGTCCACGTGGGATTATTCAACAGTGAAGACAAGGTACCTGGTAGGCTCCTGCTAGACCTGTCCCAGGATGGAGAAGGGACCTCTTGCCTTTTCAGTAGGCAGTCTTGTAGTCAGCCTGCAAGATGAGTGAGGCAGTGTTGGTAGTGATCGTCCTAATACGAAACTCGCAAGTTATATTATTTCCATATTTATAGCTCATAATCATATTGCCTTATCAGGTAATTAATATGTGCTAAGGGGCATGGGGGCTCTCACCAAAAATCTACTAAAACATTGTTCTCTCTCTCTCTCTCTCTCTCTCTCTCTCTCCCTCTCTCCCTCCCTCCCTCCCCCTAGGAGTACACTATTGATGTGTTTTTTAGACAGACTTGGCATGATGAAAGACTGAAATTTGATGGCCCCATGAAGATCCTCCCACTGAACAATCTCCTGGCTAGTAAGATCTGGACGCCTGATACCTTCTTCCACAATGGCAAGAAATCAGTGGCTCATAACATGACCACACCCAACAAGCTGCTGAGACTGGTGGACAACGGGACCCTGCTCTACACAATGAGGTCAGAGAACGGGACACCGAGGTCTCACTCACAGTATATGGAGGGTATTGCTAGGGTGGAAAGTAGCAGGTTTTAGGTTATCCACTGAAAACTCCTTTAAGGTTATAGACTAGCAATGCAGATATATAATTCTAACACGGTGTCACTGTATGTACAGACACAGATATACTACATACACATATAAACAGAGGGTTAGACATGTAAACATTCTTTGATACACAGAGATATATGTTCACTCTGTATAAATCTATGCATACTCAAAAACATACGACTGCTACACAGGTGCGTACATATTCAAGGGCACTGAAATACACGAACTCGCTATAACACATATGCAAGCATGGACTCTGTAATCATCAGAATGTGCTAGGCTTGACTGCTTCAACACAGTAACCCTATGATGCAGAATAGTGAGATTCCAGTGAAATAGCAATAGTCATTTTTGAAACATACCATGCTTCGTGTACATAAATAAAACAGTGCAATATTTATTTTATACCACATTGCCTGGGGATTCTAAGGAGTTTGAAACAAAAGTTCCCAAACAACTTCAGATTATATTTTATTGAAATGTACTGTACCTAAAATATAGGACATATTTCATACTTGTCTAACTCAGTTGCAAAAGAAACTATCGCAATTCTATGTATTTCACAACTCATTACTATCATTAGTTATTAGATATTGAAATTTTCTAACAAAAAGAAGAACCGAAGTGCTTGTAATGCAGGAAGATAGATGCTTTGCCCCGACACTAAGGAACTTTTGTGGCTCTTTATCCTTTTGCTGGCTCCTCAGCTGCAGTTGTCATTTCCTGTGGCGTCCTCCCACTTTACTAAGTTTGGGAAACAGAGCAAATCTATACTGGGTAGATAAATGCAATCCTTCACTGCAGCTTCGATGGCTATTTCAGTTTTATGTATTTGTATTTTTCACAGTGAGACCCAATGCATGCCTGGGAAATAAGTGATGAATAACTGAAGTGAATTTGCCTGCATATTAGGCCCTCTTTAAATCTGATATTTATTGCTGTTTTTACTACGAGAATTTGGGACACAGGAAGACATTCAGGGAAAAATGATTAGAAAGGAATAGTTGAGAAAATTTAGACAACAGAGGAGATGAGCAGCTAAAGGAGAAATGTGCAGATTAAGAGAGAAACAGAACAGGAGAAATGTGGATAGAGTGAGGAGAAGAAAAGGGTATAAACAGGAGCGGAAAATGGAAGATGTGGGTAAGGGCAACAGGAAGACAGGAAGGACATTCTAGACAGAAAACCAAGTGAGCAGTTTCAGGGAATGGAAGACACTTTAACCAAAAGAATGACTTCATTAGTTTTCTATTTTACACACAGCAATGTAGGTACCGTGTAGAGAATGTATTTGAAGTAAACAAGACTGAATTAGGGAAATGGCTAGGATACAGCTTGAATCACCTAGCACAGAAGTAATAACATTGTAATTCAGAACAGTGGATTAAGATGGAAGAAGGGAATATAACGAGAGAATAGGCCTAAATATAGACAAGGTCAAAATAACAAAAAAAAAAAAGAGGGGCCATCAATATCATAGGTACCCAGGGCTGGGGATTTAGTTCAGCAGGTGCCACACTTGCCTGGCAAGCTCAAGGTCTGGAGTTTGATTCCCAGTACAAAAAACAAAAGCAAAAACAAAAACAAGAAACATAGGTACCCAGCATAACACCAAACACCTAAACAGCATGAGTAGTGTTGGTACTGCAAACTAGGATGGGCCTTATAAAATTAGATCAAGTTTAGATAAGTTTGTAATGTGGAGATTATCCAGGGCAAAACGCCTAATAACAATTGGATGCAAAATCTAAAGATCAGGGGAGAAACACAAGCTAGAGACATAAAGTTTGGGATTGTTAGTATTTTGAAACAGGTTGAAACCATGAGAATGGATATGGTCACTTCCAGAAAGGGTAGAGAAAGAAAAGAAAATCATGCCAAGGATTCAGCCATGCAGCACGACTAACATTAAGTCAGGCAGGAGTCCAGAGGAACCTATGAAAGAGACCAAGAAGAAAAGTCAGGGAAAGGTAAATAGAGTCATAGTGTACTCTGTCTGAAAGCTAAGTGTGGTAGTCAATATCACCACTTTCCAATATTTCTCACTTCGCCTCCTGGGTACAAGGTGGTATCGTAGACTAGCTGCCTTCAGCCTTAAAATTGGGCGTGAACAAATGCCTTCCTGTGGGCAATCAAAAGTGAGTGTCAGTAGCAGGTGTCCATCCTGAGGCAGGACGGGAAACCATTAACTGTCAGTATGGGATCTGCCACTTTGCCTCCTCTGATCACAGTGCCACTTTACAGTGAAGAGTTTTGAAGAGTTGGTGCAGTGGTGGTGCAGACAGTGAGTATAGAGAATCCTTTCCAAAATCTTCCTCGAAGATGAAAGGAGGGGTGAATAATGGCGACATTCATGGTAAAAGGAAAGACTGCCCTTGTTTGCAGTGGTGCGGCTGGCACATATTTATTTGACACCATAAAGGAGGTAGCAGAAAAGCAAAGGTTGAAGAGACAATAGAAATAAGGGATGGTGGAGCTTTACCTGTGAGGAAAGATGGACACATCTCACACTGCATAAAAATAAACAAATGTTGAAAAGGTGATTTGAAGTGTATCATTCAGCTTTCTCATTGCTGAGACCAAGTACCTACTGTGCACAACTCAGAGGAGAGGTTTATTCGGCTCATGTTTCTGAGGTTCCTCTCAAGATCAGCTGGCTCCAAGGCAGAAATACCATGTCAGGAGGGTGTGGTGAAGTAAAGCTGCTTAGTTCCATGGCACCAGAATCAGAGCAGTGGGACAGTGTCAAAGAGGAAGGGGCCAGGGGTCACATACGGTTCCCAGGGTCATGTCTCCCTGACCAGAAGCATGCGTTACTAATCCCCGAGCTGATAATGTCGCTTAACTGTCATGGCTGAATTGAACAGGAGAGATCCAAATAGCTAAGATCTGAAGGAGAATTGGGAGAGAGTAGAGTTTTAATAGAGGAATACATGAAAGAGAGGCGTGCTTGTATTAAAGTGCAGAAAGGAGAAGAATTTGGAGAAGAAATGTGAATTCGCCCGGTTGTGTTACGAATGGAATGTGGTAGATTTAAACAGAAAAGAACATTATGGAACGAGGTAGATGGAGGCACGGGATCATGAGGAGGAGGTGTGGAAAGGTCAAAGTGAATAATCAGTGGAAGAGAAGCTTGTGGGAGTATGGACTAAGCTCCGTAGCTAAAGCAAATGTATTTATATGCAGCAGAGTAGTGTTCTGCTAAAAGGAAGGATAAACTTCAGTCATGGGTAGGAAAATGGATGCACCTTGAGGCCATCGTGATAAGTGAAATAAATAAGACATCCAAGCTTAAATGTTGCAAGGCTTCTCTTATATGAGAAATCCACAGCATAAATAAAGAGCAAAATAAATGAAAATAGGAAACAGAGAGATACATCTTTTTCAGAAGAGAAGGAGACTAAGGAATGGAGGGAGAAAGAGGGAAGGAATCTGAGGAGGATAAAAATGGTGTGTTCTGTCCATGTACCAACTCCACACGGTGAGTGTGATCGTCGTGCACTGCAAACGTAAAAATAAAACATGTGCTGATAAACATGTGAACAAAGGAGACTAGTAGGGGAGGAATAGAGAACGCTTGAGAAAGGATAGAAGAGAAACTGAACAATGAAAGAAAGAGAACATAGAGAATAGGTTTGAGTTTTGGAAGAGAAACACAGAAGTGGAAAAAAGAGAGAGAATGAGCACATTAGAATATGGAGAAGTGGGCACATCGTGGAGCAGAGCGCATGATTAACCATCTGAAAATAGAATTGCATGAATAGGAAGATGATAAGCACTGACCTCTTCAGTTTAGTTTGAATCAAACAAGAAAGTGAAATTTGCTGATTGAAGTGCCCTAGTGGAATGCCTTTGTGCTTATTCTGAAGTAGAGAATAGAAGAAACAGAAGTACAGGCGCATGATGAGACCGATGTTTTCCTTACACGGTAGAAAATTCCATGGAGCCAGGAAAGTGGGTCTGGAGTGAGACCCAGGCTCAAATTTGAAAGCTAAAAATTTGGTTCTTTCTATGGCTCCCAAACTGATTGATTTAGTGAACAGCCACGAAACTGTTTTCTCCGTTCCCTCACTCTGATGATGCTGTAGCTGCTGCCTGTCTTACAACCACATAAAAATCACGAATTGGATAAGGTCTGCAGAACACTCTGAAAATTTTCAAGCAGGGTTATTGTGCAACCTCCCTTTTCTTATTTTGACCCTCAGAAACTTTATTTTGGGGGCTATAGGAAAACTACAGAAGGACAGCTACCTAGAAAAACATTGAACAGGTGTTGCGTGTAATTAGGATGGTTGAGAAAGGAAGTTTGTCTCGCTTCAACTTGGGACGTGAGGACAGCCCTGAAACGCAGGTAGAAGCTCATGATCTGCTGCTTGCTTCAGTGTGCATACACTAAACTGGGACAGTACACAGGGGATTGACAGGGCCCTGCCCCACAGGACACACACATTCACAAGATATCTTCTATTATCCCAGTGTAGATACAGGGGAAACTTTATGTCTCCATTAATGACATCATGCTTATTGATTAGCATAAGGATAAACATGTTCATTGTGTTCTTTATACTTAATGTGTATAAATGTTAGATAATGCAATAGAGTAAAACATTCTCATCATCTGAATAAAAGGGACAAAATAGTCACCAAATTTAACTCGACCTTATGCCATTGAGTTGAACCATTTATTTGCCACATTCATAACCATTTATGTTTAAGGCTCTGAGCTTAAGTGCCAAGCTACAAGGACAAGTAAAGACATGGCTCATGCATATGGTGGCCTTAGCACTTAGCAGCTAAAGAGACCTTTGCACATACATCTGTGTAATATGGTGAGATACTTTAAGCAGAGGAAGGTGCAAAACACGATGGTAATAGAGGGTAAAGAGGAAACAAAATCACATGAGAGAAT